AATAAAAATAATATGAATTAATACCCATTTCAGGCCTAATAACTGGTCATAAAAGCCGACATTTCCGGGCGCGTCCTCCCGATCCCCGTATAGGAACCCAAACGGTCCTAACCTATAGTTGACGGACACAACCACTACATCTTTTGTGGTCAAAACACTACCATTATAATTTTTGTCAAAAATTGAGCCAAATTCAAGCCCTCCTCCATATATCCAAAACATCACTGGCTTTAATGCTGTGGTATTTGTTGTCCATATGTTAAGCACCAGACAGTCCTCACTGATGGGTAAGTCCGGACCGGTATGGTCTGGTGGGTGTAAACATGAATTTTTAAATGTTGTTGCGTCGATTATATTCTAGAATTAATATAATTTAAAATATATTAAATTTGGAAATATTAAATCATGATAATTTTATTAATTAATAAAATAATTACAGGAAATGGTTTGGAAATGGGTTCGGGTTTTGCAAACCTAAGTTTGCCGACCGGGGGTTCGGCGTAAGGAATGCCCAGAAATTGGTCCACATTTGTGTCCAACACATGTAGTGTCCGACCCCTCACTACCCCTATACTGGTGTTCACATCAATACTATTCACAGTAATTAATGTCAAACATAACACAAATATAACTGAAAACTTGTGAATGGTTAACATTTTGTTTATTAAATAAATATTTTATATTTAAACAAAATTATAATGTTTTATTATATTAAGCACATAAATAATATATAATTTGTTATTTAAACAAATTAAAGAAATCAGAAATTATTTTTTTAAAATAATAATTACAGAATTATATACTATTCTAAAATATTGTTAAAATATTTTATCTCATATTAAATAAAACTATTTATTCTACTTATATTAACAAAATGTCATTGTTGTTGTTCAATGCTGCTGTGAGTACATAATATGTGAGTACATACTATTATTTATAAATAAATTAATTATATCAGAATAACACTATTTATCTACGGATTGAATTGTATTACTGACTTACCTGTACTTTTCAATTGGGTACAGAATAAGGTATTATCATTAAAATTCAATTTTGACAAACTGTTAACTTGAAATTAGAAAATGTCATTTTTATATTTAGTAACATATTTAGCAACTATGCTATAAAATTATTTTATTAGTTATGTATACGAATAAATATTCCAAATTAAAGATTGGTTTAATAAGCAATATTTGTAGACTAATTATTTATTTAAAAATCAAATATTTTAAGAAAATAAATTTGCGATAATGTATAAAACATAAAACATTAGTTATTACATGTATAAGTATCAATGTTTGAATGTTAATGTATTGTCACACATGCCAATAGACTTGAGTAACTTAAAGTAACTCAAGTAACTTTGGTGGCAGCCCTTATAATAATTATTTATAAGTGTTAGTGCTAGTGTAAATAGTTCATCAATATATTCAATGTACTTAATATACATGTATCTCTCGTTTTTAGTATATTGTATTTAATAATTATCTTATAATAACCTCATTTTCCAAAGCACTTTTACTCAGGAATTAATATTAAGTTGTTATTAATGTTTGAACATATAATCTCAAGATTAAAATTTAACAGTTTTTACTTTAAAAATAGTAAAAATAATTTAAATATTATAGATCTAACTCTAGTCCACGGTTTAGACCCAAAGGACTTACGGCTAGTACTGAGTGACCCGTTTCACTAAACCTGTAATGACGTGTGGGCTCACTATTTATTATAAAAGATAATGAATTTTAAGTTAGTTATTAATTTCCAATAACCAATGTAATTGGAAAAAGTTATTTCAAAAATAAAAAATTCTGTAACAATTATTGTAACAATTAATGAAATATGATAAATAATGAGTATTGGTGATTCATTAATACACCATGAAGAATGTGTATTGGTTTATTTTGAAAATAAGTTTGTAATCTAATTATAATCACTAAATATTAGTGTAAATTGTCAACAGAACTAATGTAAAAATGTCACTAGCTGTATTAAAAAGCCACTTCACAAATTTGGTACAATGAGTACATCATAAACCAAAATTAATAACTGATAGTAACTGACTATCCAATGAATTTGATAGTAATAACATTCAATCAAAACGTTCAAAAATAATACCTGTAAGTGTAACCTATAACAATTAAGTAACTGTAATGATTATAATTATCTCATCGTAGATATTTTGCTAAAGTATTTATTAGTACAATAATAAATATTGCTAAATACTAAATATAATGTACTTTTTATAAAAAATAATGAGTATAAAATACAATTTATAAATATTAATGTTTATAGTAAATAAAAACAAAATGTTTCGTTTTTATAACAGTATTACAATAATTGTTTTGCATTTGACAATACTCAAACAATGCTAGAGTAATATTGTATAATTGATTTACAAAATTTTATCACATATAATAAAAAATTTTAGCAAATTTATAAGTGCTTTCTAGATTATATTAATCCTTTTAATTTGATCAGATAAATACAGTATATATTGCTGTTGATAAATTAAAATATTATTTATTGGTAATACATTATTGGTATAGTTTGCAAAATAAATATAGCAAAATGTTAAATATACATAGCAGCATTACAATAATTATTTTATATTTCACATTAAATAGTGTGAATAGTATTGATGTGAACACCACTATAGGGGTAGTGAGGGGTCGGACACTACATGTGTTGAACACAAATGTGGACCAATTTCTGGGCATTCCTTACGCCGAACCCCCGGTCGGCAAACATAGGTTCGCAAAACCCAAACCCATTTCTAAACCATTTCCAGTAAGTATTAAATGTATAGAGTAGATTAAAATATACATTAAACATAGTTAGACTATAATAAATTTTATAAATTACTGTAAACAGTTAAAATATTAAATAATACTGATAAATAAATTAATATAAAATACATAACAATATTAATATTTCAGGAAATAATAGATGCGACAAAACCAAAGAATGCATGCATACAACCCGTGCATATCATGCCAATCATTCCGAGCACAGGTATGAGTGAAGACTGTCTGGTGCTTAACATATGGACAACAAATACCACAGCATTAAAGCCAGTGATGTTTTGGATATATGGCGGGGCTCTTAATATTGGGACTATATTTCAAGAGTGGTATAACGGGAGCGCTTTGGCCACACGTGATGTTGTGGTTGTGTCCGTCAACTATAGGGTCGGGCCGTTTGGGTTCCTATACGGGGATCGGGAGGACGCGCCCGGAAATGTCGGCTTTTATGACCAGTTGTTAGGCTTGAAATGGGTATCAATTCATCTCTTATTGCAATTATAATCTTTATTTATTAATAAACATTGTTATAAATTAATGACATTATAATAGGTTAGAGAAAACATACATCTATTTGGCGGAGATAAGAATCAGATCACCATTTTTGGTGAGAGCGCCGGGAGTTGGTCGGTGTCCGCACACATACTCTCCCCGCTATCCAAAGGCCTATTCAAGAGGGCTATTATGCAAAGCGGAGCCCAATTTTACAACAATAAAGAAGTAGTCAACAAAACTGAGGCCTTATCTCAGGCCAAAGCAATTGCCAAAGGATTGAAATGCAATGAAACCGAGGATTGGATACAATGTCTGCGAAGAGCGGATCCCAAAGATATACTCAAATACGAGAACCCAATCGCCACTTACCCGACGTTTGGCACAGAGTTTCTGCCCATTAGAGCACAAACCGCTTTCAATACGAAAAAATTTAATACAGGTAATAAATCGATATTACTATGATGGTACACTGTATTTATAAAACTTTTATCTAGTAAATTTAATATAATTTTAAATTTAAACTTATATTATTAATTAGATGTTGATTTAATCGCTGGCATAACACGCAATGAGGGCTCAACGTTTATTATAGTTGTGATTCATGACCTTGTTCATATAATAAATATGAATATCACGGACTTTCATACCGCGGTGAACGCACTCGACTCAATCGGTTATCATAACGTAAATGTACCAAAAGTGACGGAATACTACCTGAAAGGTGTCAACACTAGCGATAGTCTGGCACTTCGCACGGCCTTAGGCTCACTAATAGGTGACCTAATACTCGGTTGTCCGACATATCTGTTCGCCAAACGGTTCGCACAAACTGTCAAAGAGTCGCAAAGGGTTTACTTTTACGAGTTGTTGTACGGAAGCGATAAGTTTGCAACGCGTTATGGTTGCGATATAAAGACCATGGGCATTTGTCATACGCTAGATATACCATTTGTCTTTGGTCTCCCACTTCTTAAACCCGATGATTTTAGTCCCGAAGATATCTATTACAGTAATGTTGTAATGAAAATGTGGACAAAGTTTGCTACCGATGGGTAAATTTACGTCTATTTAATGTATAATCAAACATTTTTGTCAAATTTTATCAATTATTTTATAATACCATGATTAATGAGATAAAATGTAAACCGCAACCTTAATAACATAGTTACCCAAAATGTACAAAACTCTTTCAAAGTATTCACTACCAAGGTACTATTTTATAATAAACATTTTTCCCAAATAACTAGTGCATTACAATTGCGGTTCAGTATTATAAAATATAAATGTATATAACACTGTATTCATAACACATAAACATGATGATTATAAGTTTATAGCTTATCTAACAATAATTAAATTACTGGCATACTAATATTTATTATCATTTTAGTCATATGGACTCTGATTGGCCGCAACTGTTAAACGATGAGCCGATGGGTGCGCCCAAAGTCCACGGTTTGGATCCCAAAGACCTGAGCCTAGTATTGAAAGACCCGTTTCATGAAACTTGTGATGGCGTGTGGGCCGACTACTTCCTATAAATAAAATAATAATTTTATAGTTAACTAATAATTTTCAATTACTGCCGTTGTTATAAAAATAAAAATTTTGAAACAATTGCATTCGGTTTATTTCTATTATAAAGTTGGTATCTAATTATAATTAATAAATGTTAGTGCAAATAGTCAGCAGAACTAATTAAACAACGTTGTAGTATTAAAAAACCACTGCACAAATCGGGTACAATGAGTATAATATAAATCTATCTAAACAACTGATACAGTAGTTACTTAATATCCAAGGAATTTAATATTAAGTCATTTAATCAAAAAGTTCGAAAATATTAATTTATAAAAATTAAGAAATTATAGTTACAGTATCTCATTGTAGATATTAAGCTAATACAGCTATACTAATACAATAGAAAATATTGCTAAATACTAAATATATGGAATATAAGAAAAATAATTAATATAAATATATCAATTAGTCAATTGTTTAATATTTTAATATTTAATATTAATATTTATCGTTGATTAAAACAAAATGTTACGTTTTTATAACATTATTACAATTATTACATTAGTATTATCATTAAATAATGTTTGCTGTATTGATGTGAACACTAGTATAGGAGTAGTGAGGGGTCGGACACTACATGTGTTGGACACAAATGTGGATCAGTTTGTGGGCATTCCATACGCCGAACCCCCGGTCGGCAAACATAGATTCGCAAAACCCGAACCCATTTCTAAACCATTTCCCGTAAGTATTATATAAATAATTTAATTATTATAATATTTTAACATTTTAAAAATAATAATTATTAGGATATAATAGATGCAACAAAACCTACGAACTCATGTATGCAACCATCAACTTTCATACCAATCATTCCGGGCACAGGTATGAGTGAGGACTGTCTGGTGCTTAACATATGGACAACAAATACCACAGCATTAAAGCCAGTGATGTTTTGGATACACGGAGGAGGACTTAATATCGGAACTATATTTCAAACGTGGTTTAATGGTAGTGTTTTGGCCACCAATGATGTAGTGGTTGTGTCCGTCAACTATAGGTTAGGACAGTTTGGGTTCCTATACGGGGATCGGGAGGACGCGCCCGGAAATGTCGGCTTTTATGACCAGCTATTGGCTCTCAAATGGGTATTAATTCATAAATTGATTTAATCAAAATTTTTATTTATTAATTAAATAATAATAGGTTAAGGAAAACATTTATTCATTTGGTGGAGATAGGGATCAGATCACTATTTTTGGTCAAAGTGCCGGCAGTTGGTCGGTGTCCGCACACATACTCTCCCCGCTATCCAAAGGCCTATTCAAGAGGACTATTATGGAGAGCGGCGCCCATATGTATAACAAAGACAGGGATGTGGTCAACAAAACTGAAGCCATATCTCAGGGCAAAGCAATTGCCAAACAATTGAAATGCAATGAAACCGAGGATTGGATTCAATGTCTGCGAAGAGCGGACGCCAGAGATATACTTAAATATGAGAACCAAGTGATGGCTTTCCCGGTGTTTGGCACAGAATTTTTGCCAATTTCTAGCCGACAGGCTTTTATTGAAAAAAAGTTTAATAAAGGTATTGTTAATGATTTTTTTATATTAAGTCAAATGCTTATTAAATTATGATTATTTTTATCATCATAAAAATAGATATTGATTTAATTGCTGGCATAACACGAAACGAAGGCTCAGTCTTTATTAATTACGTGGTCAAAGATCCCACACATATGGTACTAACGGACTTTTACACAGCTGTAAAAGCAATGGACTTAATGGGTTATCACAACGTGAACGTCCGGAAAGTGACAGAACACTACCTAAAAGGTGTCAACACTAGCGATAGTCAGGCACTTCGCACGGCTTTAGGCTCACTAATAGGTGACCTAACACTCGGTTGTCCGACATATCTGTTCGCCAAACGGTTCGCACAAACTGTCAAAGAGTCGCAAAGGGTTTACTTTTACGAGTTGTTGTACCGTGCTGAATATTTTGCCAAAATGCTAAGTTGTACGTCGACCATGGGCATTTGTCACGGCGTTGATGTAGCCTTTGTATTTGGTGAGCCACTTCTTCACCCTAACGATTACAGTTCCGAAGATATCTATTACAGTAATGTTGTGATAAAAATGTGGACAAAGTTTGCTAAATATGGGTAAATTATATTTTTAAATATTTAATCAGATTTAATTTTTTAAATATTTATGATCATTTTAGTCATATGGACTCTGATTGGCCGCAACTGTTAAACGATGAGCCGATGGGTGCGCCCAAAGTCCACGGTTTGGACCCAAAGGACTTACGGCTTGTTCTCAATGACCCGTTTCACGAAACATGTGACGGCGTTTGGGCCGACTATTTCCTATAATAAAACTAGCCTTAATTATTATAATTACTTTTAATATTAATTCATAATAATAAAATGTTACTGCTATACTACTTTAATAAATAGATTATTTTGTAATAAACATACCGTTATTTAAATATGAAAGTTTAATAAGAAATTTTAATTTCAAATAAAAACTAAACTATTAATAGGAAAACCGTGAAGTTACAAAAAAGTTGCATTTTTAAGTTAAATACAATAATAACTATTTTATGAGTTTAAAATTAATTGAATAGAATTTTTTTGTCAATCTTTGCCTAATTAACAACTTTTTTAGGCATGGTACTAAATTACCGATCGAATTGTAAACTTTAGTTTTACTGAATATGAATCCTAAATAAATGATGATTATACTTTTATACAATAATTACAAACAGCTAACAAGATAATAGACTAGTAATGTACATCTTATGAAATTTTGTATATTAAATATCAAAGTATTACAGTATTTCCTATAAATAATAAATGTTCTTAATTCATTTTATTAGATAATCAGCTTTATAAACTAAACTTTAGTTTATTTAGTTTAGTTCACTTATCTCTATACTCTTTTATCATAGTGTAATTGTTTATTCCAAGGTAGGTCGAAATTCATCAAACATTTTAAATAAAAAACAATCTAACCAACTGTACTATTAAATTCTTAATATCTAATAAATAAACTGATAATATTTTGCTGACTTTTAGTACAATAGAATCTTTTAGATTGCACTTACACTATGGTAAAAAATTACATATATTTTTAAATAAAATTTTATATACAATACAATGTTTAAATCATTGATTAAGTTAATTTGATGTAGACTTATATCAGAACTGTTATTGTCATTGCTTTAATTTAATAAATTTAACAATGTTATTTTGATAAATTTTAAGTAGGACAGAAAATATACAAATAACAACATTTTTCATCTTTGACATTTTGCTAATACAGATGTACTTTCTATAAAAACAAATTTATAGAGTAATAATTTTGTAGATAATGTTATCTTACTGTACTAAATAATAAGTTAAAGTATATATAAGTCATATTGTTCAAATGTCAGCTAATATTATTAATAGATATTTGTTTTAAGAAATTATGCTATAATACTAAAACATCATGATTTATTTTTATAACATTATTACAATAATTATTTTATATTTGACATTAAATATTGTGAACTGTATTGATGTGAACACTTCAATAGGAGTAGTGAGGGGACGGACACTACATGTGTTGGACACAAATGTGGATCAGTTTGTGGGCATTCCATACGCCGAACCCCCGGTCGGCAAACATAGGTTCGCAAAACCCGAACCCATTTCTAAACCATTTACCGTAAGTATAAAACTAATCATTTAAAACATATTATTCTTAAATTAATTACATTGCATAGGCATTTAAATTATAAGTATTTTAATAAATAAAACAAATTAATTTATATACAATATTTACACATTATTATCTATTAATAACAATTACAATGAAGTGTTATACAGTATTACTAAAATTTAATAAATTTTTATTAATGAAAAATAATAAAAGTTGCTAGATATGTCATATAATATTATTGCCATTAGGATATAATCGATGCGACTAAAGTTAAAAACTCGTGTATGCAAAATGCGGGTCCAATGCCAGTCATTCCGGGCACAGGTATGAGTGAAGACTGTCTGGTGCTTAACATATGGACAGCAGATGTGAAGGCAATAAAACCAGTTATGTTTTGGATTCACGGCGGAGGCCTAACATATGGCACAATATTTCAAGAGTGGTATAACGGGAGCGCTTTGGCCACCAATGATGTGGTGGTTGTGTCCGTCAACTATAGGTTAGGACCGTTTGGTTTCCTATACGGGGATCGGGAGGACGCGCCCGGAAATGTCGGCTTTTATGACCAGTTGTTAGGCTTGAAATGGGTATCAATTGATCACCTTTTTAATCTTAATTTATACTGTACAAATTTGTTAAATAATAGTTTANACCGTTTGGTTTCCTATACGGGGATCGGGAGGACGCGCCCGGAAATGTCGGCTTTTATGACCAGTTGTTAGGCTTGAAATGGGTATCAATTGATCACCTTTTTAATCTTAATTTATACTGTACAAATTTGTTAAATAATAGTTTATATGAATGTATGATTTAATAATAGGTTAGAGAAAACATCCACTTATTTGGCGGAGATAGGGATCAGATCACCATTTTTGGTGAGAGTGCCGGCAGTCAGTCAGTGTCTGCACACATACTCTCCCCGCTGTCTAAGGGTTTGTTTAAGAGGGCTATACTGGAGAGCGGCGCCCATATGTTCAATAAGGACAGGGATTTGGTCAACAAAACTGAAGGCATATCTCAGGGCAAAAATATGGCGAAACAATTGAAATGCAATGAAACCGAAGATTGGATTCAATGTCTGCGAAGAGCGGACGCCAGGGATATACTCAAATATGCAACCACCATGTTTACTTTCCCCATATTAGGCACTGAGTTTTTGCCCATATCTGCCCGACAAGCATTTGACGAGAAAAAATTTAATACAAGTAATTTAAAACAATAATTTCAAAAAATACAATATTTATTTGATTAAGTCATTCATAATTAACTGAGCATGTTTAAATAAAATTAACTTTAATCAGATATCGACTTAATCGCTGGCATCACCCAAAACGAGGGCATAGGCTTTGTTCCTCTACTGGTCGCCAATCCGGAGCGCATAACGCTCACCGACTTTCACAACGGGGTAAACGCTATCGATTCTTTGGGTTTTCACAACATTAATATACCGAAAGTGACGGAACATTACCTGAAAGGTGTCAACACTAGCGATAGTCAGTCACTTCGCACTGCTTTAGGCGCAGTAATCGGCGATATAGTACTCATATGTCCGACATATCTGTTCGCCAAACGGTTCGCACAAACTGTCAAAGAGTCGCAAAAGGTTTACTTTTACGAGTTGTTGTACGCGAGTAATTATTTTAGTAAACAAATGGCTTGTGATGTGCCGACCATGGGCATTTGTCACGGCATGGATGTGCCCTTTGTATTTGGTTTACCACTCATTCATCCCAATGATTACACACCAGAAGATATCTATTATGCTAATGTTGTGATAAAAATGTGGACAAAGTTTGCCACTCATGGGTATATTATATTTCTAAATATTTAATTTAATCATATTTGATTTTTGTTAATATTAATGATCATTTTAGTCATATGGACTCCGATTGGCCGCAAATGTTAAACAATGAGCCGATGGGTGCGCCCAAAGTCCACGGTTTGGACCCAAAGGACTTACGGCTTGTACTCAATGACCCGTTTCACGAAACTTGTGATGGCGTTTGGGCCGACTACTATTTATAATAAAATTAACATTAATTATTATGATAAATAAGAATTTAAAAAAATTAATGTCTTAATATTATCCTATTTTTAATAAACCGTATATTATAATGAGCATATTTTTATTTAAAATTTTTAATAAATTGTATTTCTAACTTGTACTTTCAAAAAATATAAATTGTTAATATAAAAAAGTTAAACTACAATTAATTTAATTTTAATTCTTATAAATAGCGGAATTTAGATGCAAATTAGTATTTATAAATTAAAAGTATATTAACTTATTATACAATATACAATTTTTAAAATTGGTAACTATTCAGCTATACAATGAATCAAAAATAATTACAATGCTTACAGTTATTTTATCTTAATGATAATTATTATAACGTATTATATTGACCAACAACAACTAAACATGGTATCTAAACAAGATATCAAGATATCATTAATTTATAGTGCATTAAAACTTATAATGTTATAATCGTACAATGTTAAGTGGTTTCCTAAATGTTGGGTAGTTGTCTTAATAGTAATACAAATCGATCATAGTGCAATTTGTTACGTTGTAATCAATAAAAGTGTTAAGCGGCTTTCTAATTGTTAGATACACTTTAATCTAGATAAAGATTTATATACTTTAATTTCATATATGAAATTTTAAATATCATAAAACTATTATTATACATACTATCATTAACTATTATAAAACCAAAGTATACATGTAATATCTAAAGAAAAGTGCAAATTCAATAGAAAACAACTTTCATTATCGGAAAAACTATCTATATTCTTTGTATTATTGATTCAAGTGGTTCTTAATAGATTATACAATAGTCAACAAAAATTATCAACTTTAAACTAAAGAATTTAATAGTCCAGTTGGTGCAATTACACTAAATGATTCATGGTAACATCCTTATTTAGCAACATAAAAATGTAAATATATTTTCTAAGAACTCAACAATGTAAACTATTTTCAATATGCTGCATAAATATTAAAATATATAAAATAATGTAAACTTTAACATTAAAACAATGTATATTTTAATTAATGCATACAATTTTAATAAGCTTTAATAAGTTAGTAGTGTAAGTGAGTTCCCAATGTACTCCTTATGTCGAGTTTGTGACATAGTGTACCAAATAAACTGTATACTGTTGTGCACAAGTATATTGATTATTGTTGCATAGGGTATTTTATTAACCTTGTAGAATTTGTCTTTGTCAGCAAAATGCTAGCATCTCATAATTAAGAGATTTTAATTCGCCATAGATATTACACTTAACAATTATTAATACACATCCTTGTTGATAATAATAATCTATGTAATTAATGTTATTGACTAAGGTATATAAATACTATCATGGTAATAAAAGCTATTATTTATATTTATAATTTATTAAGTGTAATTTGCTAAATAACTAATAATAAACATTATGATCAACGTTATTACAATAATTACATTATATTTTGCATTAAATAATGTTCACTGTATTGATGTGAACACCAGTATAGGAGTAGTGAGGGGTCGGACACTACATGTGTTGGACACAAATGTGGACCAATTTCTGGGCATTCCTTACGCCGAACCCCCGGTCGGCAAACTTCGGTTCGCTACACCCGAACCCATTACTAAACCATTTGCTGTAAGTAAAGTCTTTGTCTATTATAGATATCATTATTCAGATTTAAAATGATAATTATTTTTTGTTTATTTGGTTTCAAAAAACATTACCAAAACAAATATATTAGGAAGTAATCGATGCGACACAACCCAAACACTCATGTATTCAATGGTTACCAATCCCGGGCACAACCGTCAGTGAGGACTGTCTGGTGCTTAACATATGGACAACAAATACCACAGCATTAAAGCCAGTGATGTTTTGGATACACGGAGGGAGTCTTAATATAGGATCAATTTTTCAAGACTATTATAACGGGAGCGCTTTGGCCACCAATGATGTGGTGGTTGTGTCCGTCAGCTCGCGTACAACAACTCGTAAAAGTAAACCCTTTGCGACTCTTTGACAGTTTGTGCGAACCGTTTGGCGAACAGATATGTCGGACAACCGAGTATTAAATCACCCGCTAATGCGCTAAAAGCTTTTCGTAAAGCAAGTGAATCGCTAGTATTAACACCTTTCAGGTAATATTCCGTTACTTTTGACACATTAATGTTGTGTAATCCTATCGACGAGTCCATTGTGCTTAACCCGTTATAAAAGTCAGTGAGTGTCATATGAGCAGGGTCTTTAATTATACGGTGAGTAAATGTTGAGCCCTCGTTTCGTACAATACCAGCAATTAAATCAATATCTATTTGCGTAAATCATTTTATTATAAATATTATAAATCCTTCTACTATAAAAAATAATTTAATATAATTAATTAATTAAGGTACCTGTGTTAAACTTTTTCTCGTTAAAAGCTTGTTGAGTAGAAATTGACAAAAACTCTGTGCTAAACACCGGGAATGAGGCGAAAGCGATTCATATTTAAGTATGTCTTTGGCGTCCGCTCTTCGCAGACATTGTATCCAATCCTCGGTTTCATTGCATTTCAATCCTTTAGCAATTGCTTTGGCCTGAGATAAGGCCTCAGTTTTGTTGACCACATCCCTGTCTTTGTTATACATATGGGCGCCGCTCTCCATAATAGCCCTCTTAAATAGGCCTTTGGAT